AGAAGTTCAAGTGGGGTGGATATTTTTGCAGGCGATTGCCTCGGTTGAATTTCCCCCTGACATGTTCGGAGGGCGTTTACAGCAGCTGCTGTTACTATGGAGGTTTGCTGACAGTAACAAATGGGCGAAGTTCTTCACACTGACGAGGCTCTTCCCCTTTTCAAGCCGGAAGAGCGTGTGAAAAAAAGGGTGAAGTTAAAAGATATGTCAGAGTAACTGCAATGGATGTATTTATTACAGTGGTTAAAGATGGAAAGATAAAAGCGGAACTGAACTTTAGATTGAAAGTGTGATTATTCCTGTAATCTTAGTACATGCTTAACTTCTCAGAGCTGAAGGATAACGGTTTAAAGGTTTTGACCAGGTATTGGCAAAAATAATTGTAGAAACTACAAGTGAGAGGAGAAGTTCTTCTAGTGGAGAAAAAAAAAGAGAATTATATTTAAGTATGATTTGATTCATGTAGCTAATAAAAGCTTTTGGCTAAAGAAGAGCTACGGCTCTCGATAGTTAAAGCAAATTGTGAGCAATCCATGAGGTGATTCAGCAGCGCATCAATTAAAGTTAAACTTTTATTCACTATAAATACAGCAGCTTGTGTTAAGTCATGTTTCGGAACACAAATTGGTGCTGGACTTCAGGGTCAGTCCTGTCCTCTTAAAAAATGAACAGAGGAAGGCAGGAAATGAGGCTTTCCCATGAGGTTGTCAGACTTTAAATGGAGGCAGATTGGACAGACGCTCACAAGTGTTTACACAATCGCTGCACATATGCACAGAGCCTCTGTGGACCGTAGCAGCCATGCGAGGTCAGGACAGGTCAGAGCACGATGAGGACGAGAAGAGCTTTGTCATTGGCGATGGAGGAAAATGGACATTGATCCGTGATCTTGCAGCTGGTTTGGATTTTAAGGGTTGGGGTCAGGACGTTATTCATTTGCAAACCGGCTTAGAGGATGTTCTAAAATTATTTTTGAATTTTTTTTTTTGTTATTAAACAGGAACAAGGGGAAGACATAAATTTTAATTTAATCGTTGAAGCCAGTACAATTTTTGTTATCCGAGTTCAGCACAGGTTCTCTAAAGCAGCTAGTCGGCTTTGATTTTGCTTGGTTTTTCTCGGTGTGTCCCACCACCTCAGCCAAATAGTTTTTTTTTTTTTAAATCATAACAGCCTCCCTGTCTTTGAACTGCACACTTTTTGCCTTTTCCCAGCTAATCTGTGCACACAGTGTTAACTTTGCAGGGTTGTTTTAAAAGTAGATATGCAAAACATCATTTATTTTGGGGTACCCTTGCAGACTGCATTCGAATCCTACCGGCAAGCACCAATCGATATAACTGTTGCTGTTAGACACTGCTTCTGCATCTTGCACAAGCAAAGGGCTTTATTACTTTGTATCAATACAACAGATTTATTTGTAATATGAGAGCTGCAAATATGAGGGGGAGCCTCTATAAATTATGCAGTTTCAATATTCCCATTTAGAGAGGATGGATCAATTTCTCATACTAAACCAATAACCCTTAGGCTGGCCAGCGTTACCACAGCAACACTGATATGTCCCTTGATGAGAAGCACCTGTTATTACGCTTCCTCTGCCTAACACACGCACCTAAGACACATGGGGGCATGATTAGCAAATTAGAGTGAACTGAATTACATGCATGATGGTGCTTCTGGATGAACGCCAGACTGTTAGGTTTGGCGCTCAAGATTTTTTGTTTTCTTTTTCTTTAATTATAATGAATCTGTGGAACCAATTCAACAGACTTTGCTGGTTCTGGATGCCTTTTTGTGCCTGTGTGTTTATTCAGATGATTACAGTGTCTCGGTCAGGGCAGGGTCGCTTTTGCACTGCAGAATGTAGGGAGTAGTAAATCATCAAACCTCCCCAGGGATGGGGTGTATGTGTCACTATGGCTACTGTATATCAGCCCGAGTGCTTGTTCTGCTTTCCAGGGTGGCTTTAATTTTTCTCTCCGTTTTCATTTCTGTTTTGTTTTTGTTTGCATTTTCTTCACCTGTACATCTGTGTGGATCATGGTGTTTTTGTGCAGCTTGTTCATTCCCCTCTATATTTTTGTCGTCGTCATCATCATTCCTCCTCCTTTCTTGGCTGCACACCCCAATGCACCTTCTCCCCTTCCCCCATCATTCTCACCCACCATCCAAGTCGCCCTCTGGTCCTAGTCAGTACTGTTGTGCAGTCATTCTGTTTCTTTTTTTCTTTTTTTTGCTGTTCATACTAACCCAAGCAAAAATGATATAAAAAAAAACTTAGATTTGATCATTTATTGATTCATCACAGCTACTGTTCCACTGATTAATGTACAGATATTCAGCTATGTGCAACTGTTTAAACAATATTTACTTTGTTTATATTTATATTGTATAAATGTTTGTTTGAACTTATTTTCTACATATTTATAATCATACAAAAACATCTGTAAATAGAATGAAAATGACATTAAATTATTAAATTAAGCAACCTGCTGAGCACAAATAAAGTTGTAAGATTTACCAGCACTCTCAAACCCATCCCAGCATGCTCGACCAAGACAAACACAATGTGTGCAACAGTAAAGGTCAAGGCTGTAGCATGCATGTCAGACCTACGCATGTATGCATGATTTTTGTTTATCATTGTAAACAAAATCTATTTAAAAAAAAAAATCATTATTTTGTGTAGATAATGGATACTGTTATCTAAATAGTAATCTAATAAAATCACATTTCAATTCATTACTTTTCTTTTTAAAATTATACAATTCAACAGTTAATCCATATACATATGGCTTTCACGATGTGAAATCTTGCAATTTCTATGTTACAAGATTTCCACTTTGAAAAGTCACTTTTGCGCATAAAAGCTGCTGTGGATGTTGATTAGGAGTGGCTTAAAATGAGTCATTGCTCAGTGTCAGAAGATGTTTTCTGTTTTTATGTCACAATTTCAACCCGCAATAAAGACTTAATTATACCCTCAGCTTGAGACACTCAGAGTTTCTCAGGCTTACTAAAAACTACAGATTGTAGCTGTTTTTTTGTTTGTTTGTTTTTTTGCTCCTTAAAGTGTTTAATGTCACGGAGTGGTCATTTTTTTTTATTATTAATATTTTAAGTTTTTAGAGGACCTGAATCCTTTCCTGTCCATTTGTCCTCTGCTCTGCTGGTAGGGAGTTCAGAGGTTTTTTTTTTTTATCAAACAAATAAAACCCACCACCTACAGCCTAATCATCCACAAGTTACTTTTAAAACATCTCTCTTGATTTTTTTTTTTCTTTTTCTTCTTCTTCTTCCCTATGTGCCCCCAGAAATAGTGGTGATGGGTAGAAGGCAATGTTGCCATGGTGACGCTGCACCGTGGCAGCCGGTAATTATTCTGGCTTGAGCGCCAGCCGAGACACAAGCGAACCGGGACACAGTTGCCAAATAGTGACACCGGGACAGGAGCCGGCCAGACGATGTCGAGGGAGGAATTTTTTTTTAATTATTATTATTATTATTCCCAGACACAAGTAATAGAGAGTCTGACAGCATGTTGGCGAGTTGTTGTTTTTTTTTAAAGCAGGAATGAAAGATGAAGGTCAGAAAAATCACTGTGTCCTGCTGGTTTTATTGTCTTCACTACTGAACTCTTAGGGATTTAATGTGAGAATCTTCATATTAGTTATAATGCGTTACATGATCCTGTAGAGCCGTGATGTCACTTAGTCATTATCTTCTCAGTTACATGACTGATCAATAGAGTTGTTCCCCATGTGTTCTACACATCGGAGCATCTTGTACTCCGTTTATAAGATTGCATTTCAGTAGATATTATTCCAACTAATTTCAGTATTTCACTGTACAAACTGAAACTGGCTTATAGATTACACACAGACGGATGTATTCCAAATGTTTACTTATGTTACTTAGGATGACTCAGTTATGCTAAAAATTTTAATAACTGATGGGAGCAAAAATAAAATGAATTTTTGTATTTGTAAAAAATTCTACCCGCTTCCTAAAGTCTGTATAAAGAGTTGAGGGCAACTGTGAGTAGGCGTCTTGCAAATGAAAAGTTATGGATTAAATCTAGGAGTCTTTGAGTTTGTGAAATGCAGTTGGGTGAATGTCACTGTGGTGTCAACTGCTTTGAGCGGTTCTTAAGATAAGAAAACTACCATATAAATTGAGGCCCATTTTCTAAGTATTGTACAGGATGGTCGGGGCTCCTTTTGCATGAATTACTGCATCAGTGCAAAGGATGTTGCATCTTGAATTTGCTCAAAGTCTGGATGAGGTCCGCTATGCACACCTTACACACATTGCTCAGGTAAATACTGTGAATTGTAAGCCACGCCCCTTTGGCTCTGTGATTTTTGCTGATTGTTTAGAAAGGACACACAACCTCTGATCTCATAGGATCTACGTAAATGGAGGAAATAAAAGAAGGGTTTGTGGTTGTGATTTTAGTGTAGAATAGAAATGTCCGCCATCTGTTTTATGGACTTTTTATGAAGTAACTTTCCATTAATATGATCAGCAACCTTTAGCTATGACTTTACTGTTCTTGCAGAGGTTGTCGAGTCAGCATTCTCCCACAGGATTGTGTAGGTCATAACAGGGCCATAACGTTTTTGTATTAAAATCCTTTTTTTGTGTGTCTTATGCAAAGAAAAGTTGGTTTTGATTTCCTGTTAGCTGTAAGCTACGATCATCAAAATTCACACAGGACAAGAATCAAGTGTGTGTACTAAATATGCATCTAAATTTACCATTTCATATTGAATTACTGAAAGAAAATCATGTTTCAGAGATGCACCTGTGTGTGCAAACCAGAGCTTTCAGCCAGCCTGACCTGAATTTGCTCACAAATTCCCTCATTACCCCCCGACTTACACGGCTTCCCTGTCTACAGTCACTGATACTCTCTCCCACAAAAAGCCAATCCCTGCTCCCTGAGGTAATAACCTTCCCCTACCTCCTTCTAATTTTTATCTGCTCTCTTCCAGGCGAGGCCATCCCTGACTAATCATCCACAGTGTTGAGGTAAGGCTGCTTTCTCCTCCTCGACAGGCACTCGGACAGAAATCCCGGTGTGTTTTATATCAAGAGAAACCCGACTCCTGTAACCAAAACAGAAACCTCTCCTCAACGTCCTTTGAGGAAGAAGTTTAACTTGGCTTCTTGCAGCTCAGCCCGAGACGCACACAAAACTTTCTCGCCTGGTAGAACTGAGTCCACAGCTCCTACGCTCCCAGGACACATTAGCATAAGACGGCCAGAGACAAAGAAGTTGTTCAGTCCTGGAACAACATGCGTTCATTCTGTACACGCTGTCTGGCGGGAGTTTGGCTCATGCAAAATAAAGAGCTGGATTTCTACAGTTTTCCTTGCAACATCCCTGGTGTGGCTGTCTTCACAGGTTGTTGAATGAAAATGCCAAAGCAGGCAAATATGCGGAAACTAAACACTCCTGACTTTGTTCAATCCTTGCTCATCAGCCTCCTGCACCCTTGTGAACCCACAAAGCACACTCTCTCTGGGCTACATATCACCACCCCTCTCCACATATATTTGTTTGACATTTCTTGAGGCTCACACATTTTCCACCACCTCCCCCTGCCGTGCCCCCCCACCACCACCACTTTCCACATCACCCATGAATCATCTGTGATAACATCGGGGGGTTCCATCAGGTCAGTGAAGCCTAACTTTAGCTGTTAGACAGAGACGTGAGGAGCTTTCTGATGCTGTGCGCAGAGCCCGCATGCTGGCTGTGGAGGCTCTGTACAGAGGGGGGGTCACTGCAGCAGACTGCACTGCAGCCGCTCTCTGCTCTGCCCTGCCACCTGCTGGTCATATCCAGATATGGCATGCAGTTGAAGTGATGAGCTGAGGGGTTCAGCCTCAAAAAAAGGTCACTTTCAAAGAAAGACTTGAAAATGTCTTCATTTTTCATTAAACTTATGTCTGTGCAGCCACAACACCATGGCCTGGTGTTCTGGTCTTGTCTTAATAATCTTTGTAAATATTTTCGTTAACTGAGCCACAAGCCGCACTCAAGTTTTACTAAAATTATGTGTGTTGTAGTAAATTTCCTGTACGGTTCCGGTGTTATATCTATTCGCATTTGAATAGTCTGTGGCCAAAAATGCTCCTTAACCTTAACTTGATTTAAAATAAGAAAATCTAAAATCCCAAGTTTTCTTTTTCTTTTATAAACATTATGAGTTTATAGTCTCCAAAACAGATAGAAACAAACACGGTTGGTTTAGTTTACTTGAGTCAACGTTTCAGGCAGGGTTTTAAGTTAATGATACTCTTAAAAGTTTGATATTTTTGGTCAAACTTTAACAGCTCTGTGTGTGATTCAGCTTTTACAACAAAGCCGCCTGACAGTGCACCTTCTCACTTTTTGGCACTTCTGGTAACGATCTTCTCTTCTTTTTCTCTCTCTTTTTTTTTTTTTTTTTTTAACAGTAGCATAATTTAGCACAGAGTATTTTAGAAATCGACAACAATTAAATTCAAGATATTTATTTGGTGGTGGGAGGAAAAAAATACCAGTAGCATTTGGAAAAGTCTCTGAACTTTGTTTGGTCAACATTAAGATAGCATCTGATGGTTGCTATGGAAACAGTTGCTGGTTTCTAGATTTGACTTTCCTTTTGCATTCTTTTATCTTTGGGTTATTTTGGGTCAAAGCAACAAGTCATCACAGTTTGAACAATTTGGGGGGCGGGGGGATTTTTGAACCCAAAAATCCCCCCGCTCCAGCTGAACTTGCACTCAGCCGTGTTTGTATTGTGCTTGTGTTTTCCCAGCTGGTACCTGTCCAATGTCCTCTGCCCACACAGTGTGATGTGTCATGGCTCCGGTGCTGAGTGGAGTGCGGTGGCTTTCGGAGGCGGGAGTTGTTGGGTCGGGGACGGCAGCTGCCACCGGCGCCGCGTACTGGCCGCAGAGTGAGCAGCTGGTGTTGGTCGTCACACTCAGCATCGTCACCGGCTTGTTGCTGCTCTCTGTGCTGCTCGGGCTGTGCGCCAGCTGTCGGGGGTGAGCCGCATCGCACAACAACACGAGTCCTATGTTGCACTTTTCCTGTTGTTCAGGAATATGACTCTGAGGCCAGAAATGGCGCTTGATAACCTCCGATGAAAGCAAGATGAAATGAATTTATAAAAATGTTTAAGTTTGCAGGATGAGTCAGATTAGATAGAACAAATGGTTCAGTTCCAAGTTTGTGCTGTAAGTTGCATCTTTTGACCAAAGCCTGATGTTTAAATCTTTGTCACAGCTTCACAGGAAGCATATTTCATACACTCGCATATTAAAAGTTTATCACATTTATTTTTAACTAGAAATACTGCAAACTCTTTTAGTATTGTTGCAAAGAATATATGCCTTTTTTTTTTTAGCCGTTCAATGTGTGACCTTTGAACTGCTTAAATGTCTCAATACGGACCTCTGGAAGCAAATTGCTGTTAATCATAGCAGAGCATCACTAATGGACACCTTCACTGGTGCATCTGAATAAATCAGAAAATTATTGAGAATGTAATTAATTTCTTTAATTCAGTTAAAAATTGAAGATTAAATATTATGCAGCTTCACAGCATGCACAGTGTGGTGAAAACTCCACATTTAGTGAATGAATACATCAAAGAAATAAAAGAGGGTTTTAATACTGATACAATGTGTAATATAATGTTTTGTTTTTACAAAAAACGCTCCGTATTTATTTACACAAATGAATTACTGAAATCAACTTTTTGATGAAATCCTGATGAATTGGGATACACATGTGCTTTCTTTAGGCTATGTCTGTTATATTTTTGTTTTCCTTTTCTATGTGTGTCCAGTTGATGGTCATGTAGTTTTCTTGGTTTTCCATATTCCTGTCCTGCTCTATTCATTGTTGTGTCTGTTCTCAGAGCCCCTCCATGTCAGACTGAAGCCCACAGGCTTTATTTAAAAAAAATCCTGGCAGGTCTGTTACACTGGATTGCATCAGATTGCACCAGCGGACCTTACAAAGCGAACAAAGAGGGTGTATTTTTCATTTTTTATTTTTTTTCACCTGAAGGACAAAGTCCTTGCATTCCTGGTTAGCAGTGTACACCTTAGAGGGTGAAGCTTTTTAAACCAAATCTGTTATTTGATCTTGTGTGATAGTCAAAACAATGAAACTCACAGTTCTCTGCTGCACTTATCCCTCTATTGTTTTTTTATACTTCTCTCTTTCAGGCAGAAGAAAGTAATAAATGGCACTACTACAGGAGACCAAGAAAACCTTGTAAATGGAGTAAGTAGGATCACAGGGTTTTTACTGCATTTTCGTACAAATACTAAGTGTGACCTTTGTTCTTGCAGCAGTGTTTCTCTTTTCCCTGCTCATTCTTAACATATTAGAATAAACTAAGGTATTTTGTGCTCAGTTGAATACAAAAAACTAACCGGTAAAATAAAAAAAAAATGATTAAAGAATATTTGTCTGAGAAGGTCCAGCTGAGTGTGTCTTTGCAGTGAGACTGTCTTGAGCTGGCATGTTGGTGACACTCCCTTTTATCAGGAGAAAACATCCAGCAGAAGCAGGCCGTCTGAAAAACCAGGTGTTTCTTCTATGGAAAGAGAGATAGTTAACAATATTGATTGCTTTGTCTGGGCTTCATTCAGTGTGGAAAACACAGCTAAATGCTAGGAGAAGAATACTTTCTGTGGGAAAAATTAAGAAAGAGAGGAAGCATAATTAAAAGTAGTTCTAGCGTAGCCAATGACTTCTTCCTTGAAAGAGACATGGCTACATACCGAAAACTCAACTAGCACTTTCAATATGAACAACAATAGAAAAGACGGTAGTTTTATAATCACGAAAAGAAGCATAGCTAAATTTGTAAACAATGGTCAAAGATTACTTTCAATGGGATGAAAAAGAAATCAGAACATAATAATAGCAGTGATAACTTCACGAGTGTCTATTTTTCCAATGAGATGTTGCTAAAGACAAACACAATAAGATATACTTTCAGTAAGAAGAAAAACAGAGGAAGCCAAAGTTAAAGGCAAAATTATTGCGAAACATTTCTGCAATCATGTCAATCTCTACAGTACGAAGAGAGAACATGGGTAAACTTTCACTGAATTTTCCAGATCAATTACTTTACTGTTGCAAAGTCTCTCAATTCTGTGAGACCGAAAAGAACTATACAGAGTATTTATTAAGGTGACCTTGGGCAATTGTTTCTCTACTAATAATTAAATGGTGTTCTCTTTAACACTACATCACTTATTGGATACTAATTACCAAATACATGAATAGTCACAGCCCAGTAATCAAAACACTGTTGGACCTGACAAATCTCCAGTTTTCACATCCTGAACTGCGTCCTCTCGCTCTCTTATTGTCTCTCATTCGGTGGCTTTATCGTCTGCATCGGTCTGTCGCATGCAGTCCTCTGTGAGAACATCCAGCAGAGTGCTTTTTTGCATTTGATTGATATCTTTACCTCTTTACCCCAACCTTGTGCACAAACATAATTTACCAGCTTGCCAGATTGTTACAAGAGGTGCCCATTTTTAAGACGGACCATGTCAAAGCCTGGCAGGGTAAATGGGGGTCTTTGTCTGTGAGCATGACGTGCGTTTCCTCTGTCACCTGCAGTCTCTCTGCATTGAATCTCTCTTATGCCTCTTACTCTTAGTATATTTGCAGGTTCTCTGTTACTGCGCTAAGGGCGATTTCTCTTTCATTTAGTCTGCAGTCGGTTCTATTAGACACAAGAGATGAAACAGACCATAACTATGAGGTCAAATAAAACATGACATGACGACGACATTTTCTTTTACGCAATGCTGTGGACGACTTTTAGTAGCGATGTAACGGAAAACATGATTGTTTAAAAAATGTCAAAGTGTTTTTTGTCTTAAGAGGACAAACAATGGCAAGACCACATGAACAATATTGGGGTTATAAAACAGTTAAAACATTACATCATTGAAACCGGCAGCTGTTGGAGTGTATGGCCACTAGATGGGGATGTAGAGCTTCTCCTCCTTTCACACACAGAATGAAAACAACAAACCTAAACAAAGAACCATCCAGCTTGACACCTTTTGGTGATGTTTTCACATTTTCTGAACTCTTTAACTGAGGAACTGCAGAAACAAGAGAGCTTGAGCAAACTGCATGTTAACAAATCTCATCTCTGTTTTAAAAAAACTGCATGCCACATCCTGTGATGATTGGTGTACGCATCTGCAACTGTGATTTGGAGTTGGGAATGGTGGAGGCAAACTTTTCATGCAGGCTAAATAGAGACGTCGATGTTTTACAGGCCTGCATGATGTTGCTGGAAGGTGCTCGCATTTAGGTGCAAGAACAGGATGTTCAGCTGCTGGAGCGTCCTTGTGCAACGCTGACAACTTGCCACTTTCAGAGATATTGCTCAGTGTCGCTGTGGCTTTTGTGGAAGGAAGTTTGGTAAAGCAGGGCAACAGATTTCTGTGTGGCTTACCCTTCTTGGATGAACTTTTCTAATCTTTGTGACATAGTGTTGCTGTCTTAGCACAGTCGATCTTAGATCAAAGAAAAACATGAAAGAAAATGTGTCCATCTGAGATTTTCTTTTGTCATGTTTATTTTAAAACATGCCAGATGCCGACAATTTCTCTTAACGCAAGTCCCCATACATGCAACACGCCTGATTAAGTTAGAATTTTCCTTTGTTTTTTATGCCAACAGAGAATGTTAACTATCTATAGAAGTCTTTTCTTGGTAATCAAGGAAAACGGATGCTTAATTAGGCATGAATAATGTTTAGATAATGAACTTAAAGTAGTGTGACCAGAATAGCTCAGAGAAGCGGAGATTAAAAGGCAGGGAAGCATGAAAAAAATGAATTAGTGCTGCAAATATGAGCGAAATATCCAGAAAGCAGGAGAATCTTTGTAGAGATCTGCTCCTCTTTATTCTGCATTGCGCAGATGTGTGAAAGTCAACCATTTTGTCCGAGTGGAGACGAGTCCCGATTGATTTTTGCTCCGCAGCGAGGTGAGCTCTCTCTGCAGTGACAAACATCTCATCCTTTGTTGTGCAGGTGTCGGAGAAGGAGATATCAGTAGACAGTCCAGTGACTGACGCAGCAGTCAGCAGCTCTCACAACGGTCCTCTGACCAGCGGTACAAGTAAGCAGACACATTTAGCCTCAGAGCTGTGAGCCATCATGTTTCCGGTTCAACTTCTGGATGCTGTTGCTTAGTGGTACATCTATGGAAAAGTATTAATACCTCTTAAATCTTTTCCCATTTTCTCACGTTAAAGCAACACACAACAAAGTGTATAATAAATCCAAGAAAGAGTAGACCACAGCTTACAAGTAGAAGGAAAATGAGTTATTCTTAGACATCTTTGTACAATTAAACATCTAAAAAGTGTGTTTTGTTTCACTTCAGAGAATCTTTAGAGATTCGTTAATATCTCTAAAGAATAGCAAAACTTCATACCCAGACATTACCATTGACCTTAACTGAGTGACTAGGCAAAGAGAGCATTAATCTGCAGCTCTGGTGGAGCTGCAGAGATCCACAGCTCAGGTAGGGTAATCCGTTGTTGTGCACTACACAAATCTGCCAGTTTTGGAAGAATAGCAAAGCTTGTTGAATTATAGAGAGAAAGCCAACATGATCTTCCCCTGGAATTTTCCACAAGCCATGTTGGCAACAGTAAACGTGTGAAAAGTGCTTTGGTTCAGATTAGACTAAAATTTAGGGTTTTAAAACGTGCATCTTGCTGTGAGAATGCTGTTCTCCAGCAGGGATAGGGAAGTTGTTTGAGAGTTTGGGGGAATGAACAAAGCAGAGATGCGTCGTTATTAGTAGCTTACAGTACTTAAAGCACATGTGACAAACTCGATGCCAGGGGGGTTAAATCCGGCCCACCATAGCTGTTTATGAGGCCAAAATGGAAATGAGTTTGACAGCCCTGTTTAAGGATTGACTGCTAAAATCTAAACAGAATAGCTCACCTTTTGGTGGTTCAGTGGGGGGGTCCTGTTTTGTCTGCAGAAGGGGGCCCACACATTTTAAGGATCATAATGTTACGCCTGGTTGCTGTACGTTGAAGTATGTTGTAACGTGACCGAAAAGGGAAATAAATTCAAGATGCAACAGAACAAAAATGTAGCCTCTGTCTCTTCCTTCGACAGTCCTCTCAGACACACAAGACACCAGCCCTCAGTTGTCCGAGGAGCTGCTCTCCAGCCAATCAGAGCTCAGGTCCTCCAAGTGTCATCAGGACCGAGAGCTTCCCAGCCTCCCTCCTGGCAGTGCCCCCATGGAGGACAGACCCCCAGCCTCAGGAGATAGCACTTACGAGGTCGGCATTTAAAGTCACCTTACGTTGTGTTTCTATTACGTCTGATGTCGGATGTTCTTGTCAGTACTGGTGAATTAAATGATGTTACAATGAGAAACCCAGAAGAATATTTGTTGCTTTGTAAACTCACACAGCAAAGTGACAAGTTTGCCTCTGTGGTATCCAGGTGGTGAAGGAGATGGAGGTGGAATCCCGCGACGTCAGCGTTGAGGACTCTCTCTACGAGACCGTCAAGGAGATCAAGGACACCTCGGTGCAGCCTCACCTCGCCAACGGTACTGTCCAGCCGAGCCCCGATGAGCCTCCACCTCAACCTCCCGCCCTCGTCAACGGCCACCCCAGCCCCTGCACCCCAGAGCGGGTGCCGCTGAGCGAAGGGGTCGAGTACGCCTCTGTTGACCTGCGAAAGAAGAGCCGACACAGCGCCGACATGGAGGCCAAAAGGCGCTCCGATAACGCCGCCGCTCCCTCACGCAAACCCGCGGAGGAGCCGGAGGAGGAGCCGCCGCCGCCCGTACCGAAGAAGGTTCTCGACGAGAACGACAACCAGCCAGCGGTGATGAATGGCGTGGAAGGGTCTGGGCTGGACAATGGAGAGGTGAGGAATTTGTTGCACACCAAGCAAGATGATTTTACATTTCAACGGTGAAAACTGAAATATGTCACTTTTATAAGCAGAGCTTTACAAAAGTATCAATACCACCTGAAATATTATGTCAGATTAGAAAGCATTTCAATCTCCAATGTATTTTTTCTGGATTTTATGTGATGGAACGACACATGAAGCTTATCATTGTTTTTTGGGGTTTTTTTTAAAATATCAATCTGAAAAATTGTGGTGTGCATTTGTATTTAGTCTCCTTGATGCTTTTTAAACACCTTTTGGTTCACTTAGCCCATTTTTCACAGACTACCTGAAGTTCAGTAACCAATCTTTTTCCAAGTCTAACCACAGACTCATGATTGAATTTATGTCTAACCTTAGACTGCACCATCATTTCATCCAATCCACTGAATCTCAGACTGGATTTTAAGATTGTAATCCTTCTGGTGGATTAACCAACACATAAATCTCAAATGTTTTGGAGTCTTTAAAGGTGAACTCTTTACTTGTGTGACTTCTGACAGCAATTGTTTGGGGTAGATTTTATTTATCATTTAAAGGGACCTGAACACAAATGCATGCAGTTTGTTTTTTTTGTTTTTTTGTTTTTTTCAGATTCCGTGTTTCCAACCCATATATAAATTTCTTTTGACAATATAGTTATGCAGCACTTGGCATTTATTGAAGTTTAGTTGGTGGTTGTTAAGAAAATATGAAAAACAAATCAAGAGGTGTGAATACCTTTGCACATTGAGATAAAAAAAATATTACTCCAACTATTTTGAGAACAGTATCCTTCAGGATGACCATCACTGAGCACAAAGAGTGAAACAAAGAACTCTGATGATGTCGAAGAGAAGACGAAAATCGGGAGCCGGAGTTAGAAAAGCAGGAGGAGAAATAGAGATGAAATAGAGATGGCGATGGCGAGATTTACTCAGAAAGGCACCGAAAGGATTGGAAGGCATTAAGGAGAAAGAGTCAAGGGTTCGGGGTGAGAGATGGGAGGATAGAAAGCGAGAAACGTGAAGGAGGAAAACGCAGCAGCATACAGATGAAGTCCTCTGCAGCAACGAGCGAAAAGTAGTGAAGATGGTGGGATGATAAGGAAAAAAATGACACTGAAGAGGAAGGAGATATGAGAGAGAGAGAGAGAGAGAGAGAGAGAGGGAGATGTGGCGGTGAAGAGATGGGGATGATTGAAGAAGTGAAAACCGATAAACATCGCTGTAGTGTCAGGAGCTGAGCAAAATACAGCTACTCTCAGGAAGCTGCCAACAACACATCACATTAACAAGCTCATCACAGAGAAACTGCTTGATGAGGCAACTTTTCCAATTTAAAAACTCTTCTCTGAAGTTATCCGCGTTTGCTTTCATCTTTATTCACATTCCTTTCCCTTCCCCTGTTTTAAACGAATCATGTGGTTCGCCAGTTTGTAAAGAAAAGCTACATTTATTTGTTTCTGCTTTAGCTGTGAAACTAACCATTGGGGGGGAAATAAAACCCTACAATTCTTTGTCAAGAAGGCATCAAAACTGAATGAACTTCGGATAAGTTTCATAAAAAGAGAGACAGGGTGATTTCTGTTAAAGGTTTGCTATATAAAAACAATAGAGACCCACCCTGCACCAGCATTGTTTTTTGGAGGGGGAGAAAAATCATGTGTATATCTATATTATATATCTAGTTTATTTTGATGAGTGTGTAGTCCATGCAGTCGAAATGTTATTCTCCATAGAAATTATAAAACATTTGATTTATGCCCCCGGTGCATAAATCGAATGTTTATGCATTCAAGGTAAAATTCAAGACTTTTACCTTGAATTTAATCTTCAAACTTTTTTTTTCTTTAAATGTAAATGTTGAAACAGCTCAAAATAAAAATCCTCCTATATGTTGTTCTGCTATCCATCCATGTTCTGAAGTTGTAGAGAGAAACAGGAATACAGTCTTCTAACATTTTAAAAATGTATTACAGCATGTTTGAGGTTCACATTAAACCTACATAGAGTCAATACTGTATATACAGTCAGTTTCACTCGTACTCTTTGATGCAGTGATATTTTGCAGCTTGTTTGTTAGACCTAGTTTGTAGGTGTTTTTTTTCCCCCCCCATTCCCTCGGCTCCTGCTGAGAGGTGGGAAACATCGCAGTAATCAGTGATATGGCAGTCTGTCATCTAATTTAATTCCTCCTCTGAAGATCTAAAATGTGTCACCGCTCCCCCTATGCGGCCTCTCTATTGTCAGTAGCAGCACAGTTTTTCTCAAAGATATTGCCCGGTGTGGTTCAAAAAAAACATTTTATAACCATTTGTGTAAGCTTTTTTTATTATTATTTACCAAGATTTTCAAATGCATTTATCAGGTTCATTAGTTTGTTGCTGGTGGCTTGTTTGTAACGTTATTATTGTTTTCTCAATCTAATGGGCATTATTGTCAGAGTGGAAAAAAATAGTTTATTATTCTTTGATGTATCTTTAAGTAAAAATTGTAATCAACCAGTTTCCCCCTTGATCAGTTGGTCAGCGTTATTAAATTCGTTTTAAAAAGTACTCCATATGCAGCAGTGGAAATAATGCAAATTAACTCGTATCTTAGAAAAAAGGCATTAAATCTATTAAGTCTGTTAGCAGGTTAGAGTTTAAAGAACACCTAATGATTGCATCATCTTGCATATCATATATAAGCTTTATATATGATATACATAAGTTGTTTTATGGGTATTTTTTCCAACGTTTGTCTGTTTATCATGTGGAAGTCAATGTGTTAATCGTTAGATGGCAGGAAATGATCCCTCTCCTTTACCAGTGATGAACCCTGATCTAGCAAGCTTCTGTATATCTCTATTCCTCTAAATACTGGCAACAGCATGTACACACATATACACACATAACTGCAAATATTATCTTTCATCCAACCACTAACAAATGGCTACAGCCACATGTGTTTTGCTTCTCCCATCCCCCTAATATCTCACACGCAGACAGCACAGCGTGTGTGTTTACATATATTCTGCTGCGTAGACGCCTCGGGGCTAACGTAAGGTTAACAGTGGCTGTTTACCGCTCCCTGTGGTGTATGACCAGGATGCCGACTGCCATTTGTCTTGTCAGAACCGGGTATTCTTGCGTCTTTGTGAGTGTTGGTGACCGGCTCCTCGGACCCCGTCGCTGTCAGTTACCTAGACTTTCATGATTTATGATCCGGGCCATAGGAACTCCTTATCTGTCTGGGTCCTCTTACACACAGACACGCTGACGCACAAATCATCTGTGAAAACACTGCAACGTCTTTATGTAAATATTTTAAGAAAAGCCCTCCGATCAGGCGGCTGCTCTGCTGAACAGAGACGGGCCAACCTCATTTATCAGCACTTTATGCAGAGATGAACAAAAACCCCTTAAATAAATGTATGTTTTTAATTCAACAGTGTAGTCTTGCTCTGAATTTATTTATGTTTTAATCTAACCTTTAATTTGTGTTCATTTATTCAGTGTTGCCCAGAAATAATTATGGTTTACTAAATTATCGGTTCTACATTTATTAACTCTGCCAACAATTAACATCAATATAACCAAAACAAAATTTAAAAACCTATGTTTTTTTTTTTTTTTTTTTTTTTTGGTCGATCAGAGTGATTAGAAACATTTAGCAAGTCAGGATTTATTGATTTCTTTTAGGACTCTTCAAAATTGGAAAGACAAAAGGACATATTAAAGTTAGGCCTCATTAGTAAGAAAATGGAATGTAAATAGCAATTTGCTTAAGTTTGTGATCAGTCAGTACAATAAATTGTTTTAACTGTTGGAAAGCAGATGCAGCAACATCTCCGTAACAGCGGATAGATGCAGCCGATTTGCCAGCCAGCGGTTTGAGACGCTTGATGGCAAATTTTTCTTTTCTGATCTGCAATCCAGATGGTGCCAATGTGAAACAAATTTTTTTTTTTTTTTTTTTTCCCCCTCTGCACATCACCTCATTGCAGCTGTTAAGTACAGCAGATGATCTGTGATGCTGTGGGCCTTTGGAATCTAATACATGGATCTACTACTGAACTGAAATGTGTTTTTATTGGGTAATTCATTCAGATACGGATAAAAAAATATATGGCCAATTAGAAGAGGGCAAAGGGAGGATACTGGATGATATAGAGAGACTATCTGAATACAAATTATCTAAGAGCCCTTTCTTTATTGTACAAGTGATTTTTTTTCTTAAGATTTCATAACATGAAATCTAGAAGATGAATGCACATAAACAAAGTAGTTTTTTTTTCTCAACTCTTCAAGAAATGTGTGCTAGCACAGTAAAGAGATGTATTTAACTTTTTTACGCATCTCTTCTAGAGGTGCCAGTAACTGTGCAGCATGCACTATACCATATATACTTACTGTTTACTGCACACACTAATGGATTTGCTGTACGAATTGGTGCAAACGGGGAAAGACACTCCCAAGCAGCTTCAGTTTCTGTAAAGCTGCAAAGGTGAGCATTTATTGAACTGTCATATACAACAGCAGCACATGTTTGCAGCGGCTTGATGCCTGTGGGCATGTAATGTGAGAGGCAGGAAATGAATTTGACCCCGCTGGAGGGCTGCCAGGTTATACATTTGGGATGCAGTCCAGGAAAACAGTGATCTATTCATCATTCGGCACTGCTGTGGACCTGTCGCGAAACGGAGTCATTCTAACATGGAAAACGTATTTGCTGCGAGATGTAATTTATCCTTTCTGTATCACCCAAGCTTTCTTAGCTCTTTCCTCCTGAATGACCACATACACGCTCAGCCTAATGCGCTCAAACTGATTGATGTGTGCGTCTGTCAACAAGTACGTCACTCATGACTGACACGCCGACACCTGGGCCGTCCATCACATGAGGAGGTTGTAATCAGCTTACCGCAAAAGCCTTTCCTGCACGCCTTGTGTGTTATTAAAGCTCCTACATGCACGGAACATCAACGCATACACCTAATCTGCTCTCACACACAAGCACGCCAACATTTTATTGTTGGCCGTCAAAATATTTATCGGTTAGGTGTCGGTCTCATTTTGAGCTGGCGAAAGACAAACTTCTTTGTGTGCTTTTATAGTTTCTACATATGCATGTATATATACATTTGTTGTAGTCTGTATACAAACCAGATTTTACTTCAAGATTAAATGTCCACTTTGATTAGCATAAAGTTTTGAGGACTATTTCACTCTGAGACACACGTCAAGGCTGTACTGACTGGGCCAAGAGTCGCCTGCATCCTTGTTTTTCTATAAATATGTCGCCCCCGGGGGCATCCTGCCTAATTGGCTGGCTAATTAAAGTGAAATGACAAAGGCGTCTGCTGCGTTGTTGAGCTCAGGTCGGATCTATAAAAGTAATCATGTCCCCAAATACGTGGCATCCATAAAGTAGTCGTATTGATTTTCACGCACTGGGGAAGAAACACACGTGAAGACACTAAGACGTACAGCTGGGCTGGACAGTGATGGATGAACTCTGTGCGCAGGTTGTGTCCTGCGTGTTGGCGTGTGGTCCGAGCAAAGAGGTGGACGTAACTAAAACAAAGGGCTGCACCTCAGCATCCATCAGCTTTAACCTTGGGAACTCCAGCCGAGGACCTAATTTAAGTGTCCACACAAAAAGCTTTGTTTTTGTTTCTCTTTCCGCATGATGTAAGCTACTTAGGGAATGCCGGTGTGTGTATCGGGATCCTTGTTAGTTCTCCTGAAGTGCTTCGTCTGATGGGTTTGGTTGATTAATGGCTACCTCATCGATCATAAGACAAAATGGACAGAGGGCGTGCAGAAAAAGCATCCCTCTCCCTGTCGCTCCCTATTGACTTTAACTCAATAATTTTTTTTTAATGAATGGGTGGTTATATACAACATTAGTTTCGAATGTATCGCAGAAGATGCAGAACATGTTTTCGACTTACACCAGAGGGGTTAGTTTAGAATTTCACCATCAATCGGCTCCAGAGCGTTCCAAGGCATTCATACAGATTTTTTTTTACCAGAGTATGCATTTTTCAGAAGTGGTCGATATCTTGATAGCATGTTTTATTAATGCAGCTCAATAAGAAGTGCAACTCTTCCTTAATTGTGTTCCTTCAAAGTTGTTGGGGAATGTCTTAGTTGGCTTTTTGTTGTTGCAGTCGGCTACTTTTAATCCTTTCTAAGGAGGCTGCGGATCAATTCTCCCTTTCAGCGGGTCATGCCCTTATTTTGTCTCCACATTGGCATTTCAGCCCAACCTACTTTCATTTTGTACCTGTAAACAAATCGTTTCATAACCGTGTCTTAAGCATTTGGCTCAATTAAAGAAGAAAATAATAATAAGATTCCCCTAGGTCAGTTTGTAGTGAAGCACCATAACCACTTTTTTTCCTGCAGTAAACTGTTAGCAGATTATTGATTACTTAAATCAAAGTAGTATGAAACTTTCATGTGTGTACAAATTGACTCGCAGTCAGTATGAATCACCCAGTGTGAGGTTGCTACTTATCAAATGCAAAACTTTTGCTTGTGGAAAGTTGGTATGTTTCAAAAGTTGGGTATGAAAACCTTGTTCCAAAAATGTTTAGAAAAAAATCTGTACCAAAAACTTTTTTTTTTTTTTTTTTTTTTTTTTTTCCCCCAAAAAAGTTGGATGCAAAACGTTTGTGTTCCAGAAGAACAGTCTGAAAACTTTTTTGTCTTAACAAAAGTCAGTATCCAAAGTTTTTAGCTTTACAACAGTCTATTATGAAAACATTGTTGTTCCAAAAAGTTGAATCTGCCAAAGTGCAAAATGGCAAGGAGGTGGAATGACCAACACCTTCGTATCAGAAGTGAGCAAAAATGTTACTAAAAGCCTCTTTGGGGTGGCTGTTCTGAATCTGTTTCTCTGTATTTCTCCACAGTTAACTTCCCTGTCTCCTCCACCGGAATTTGAAGACCACCCACAATCAGACAACGAAGTAAGTGTGTGCAACTCGCTTATTCCCAAACCTGCATGTTTCCTGATCCGAGACAGCAGCGCTCTCTAAATGTTTGAATAGTAATCCACCAACAATCTGAAGTGCTAATGATTAAATCAGTCTGAACAGCATTTGGTCGTCTCTCGTTCAAAATCTGAAATACTCAGATTGATCAAAGTCTCAAGGAGTTCTCCAGTACCAGATCAATTTACCCCAGGTAGGTTGGGACTCTTGTCTTAAAACACAGTTTCTGATTCATTAAACCCTATTTTTATTTTTAGAAAAACAAAATTGGAGACTTTTCCCTTAAGACTACCATAGTATTAGATTAGCTTAAAAACAACTTTATATGAACTAGTCAAATGTGGACACATTTACAGATCTTTTCAAGCACAGTTTATGATTTTTGAAACTTAGATTGTAAAAAAAAAAGAAAGAAAGAAATATAAGAAAATTGGAGTTTGTCCAGAAAATATTTCTAAAACCTCGTCTTGTCTCCGGTTCTTGAACCCCATATAAAGTATCATATTGTCATGTCTTTAATGTTCCTTTCTTTTTTTTTTTCTTTTTTTCTTTTTTTTCCTCGTTTCAGTCACCGCTGTACTCTACTGTTAATAAGACGAACTGCAACCAGGCTTTTAGCGAGGACGACAAAGAGCACGACTACAGCAGCATCGCAGAGATCAAAGGTATTGTCCCTAACTCGTCCTCCAGCGACCTCTACGCCACGGTTCACGACATCTACGCTCAACCCGACGAGCCCCAGGCGGGCGAAGAGCCCCCGATGGACAGCTCAGATCCCGGCTACGAATCGATCCGCATCCCAAAGACTAGTAGCTCCGATGACGATCACGGAGCCGGGAACGGCAAGCCGGAGCCCGACTACGAGAGCGTGGGAGAGCTGGGCCTCAGTCGGGAGATGTCCCGTCTTTGAGTCGACTGCCTCGGCGTCGCATCTTTACAGTAGCACTTTGAAGCAGCTGTTCGGGATGCCTTTGATGCAAACTGCTTCTCACAGTTTCCTTATCGAGTGTACATCTTCTTAGCAGCTTAGGTACGGCTTATCATATCTGAACGTCACTTATCAACCAGAGCGAGACATCGGTACTGGCAGGCCTTAAAAACTCTGGGTTGTTAAAAATAATCGCAACATATTCTGGTCAACAGAAAGAGGGGGGAAAAAAAAGAAAACGAGATATTGATCTAGTGCCATATAACTTGCATAAAAGTCATTCACTAACTGTATTATGTGAAGGTTAGATTATTTGTATGGCTTCTCTGCAGCAGCTAGTTTTTCAAGCTTCTAGATAACTGTCATATTTTACTGAAGCATCAAGCAGCATATTTCTAGGCCTTCTTCTGTCAAGCTTGCAGCACCTCCACTCTGCATTCTCACTAGATGTTCCTGTGAAAGGGTTTCTAGCGGAAAAAGAGTCAATTAGATGAAACTGAGACTGCTACCTTCTTTAGCGGGCTTGACATTTGAAAGGTTGGAAACAGTCACTGCGAAGGAAAAAAAAATATGTTTTTCATTTGAGCTTTAGAGTTTCATAGTGCATTTTGACCTTTCTATAAACTTTAGGGCCCACAGCAACAGGTTTTGTACAAAACATATTGTATTTATTTGAATATGTTTATTATTGTGTAATTGTGAAATGTTTGACTGTGCTGTGAGAGGATTTTATAGAAGTTTCTTGCGTTTTCATTGAGATACTAAATGAAAGTTAACAGAGGGTTTGATGCCACTTAGGTACGTGTTCCTTTCATTTTATTGTCAAGATGTCAGCTTTCGCAAACTTTGAAGTACTTATGTGTTTAAATGACGAAACACACTTGCCTAAATGTATTCTTTTAACAGGTTTTTATCTTTTTGGTACAAGGGACAGTCTTCACCTTGCTTCAAAGCACTTGAATTATTTTAATGGTACTACAGAAACCATCACCACAGTTCAGTTTTTGAAGCACCTTCAACATTTATTAGCACCTCTAATGAAGACCTGCACAAAGCCTTAAAAATATATATTAATTTGTATTTAAGGAGCATAACTCCGCTCTGAAATTTTCACAAAAATGTGCTTTGGATATACGTCTTACCACCTTAATTACAGTGTGTGTGACAAGATAAACACTTTCTTCACAGTATTGAAAAGCGTAAATATATTTTTTGACTTGGACTAGAAAGAAAAATCTGGAAACCTATCTGGGAAATAAGTTTCCAGATTTGTTTTATTATCTAAAAGACGAAACCTCAGAATGTCTGACAAATTAGTCCTGTATACATTTATCTTTGATTTGCCACATAGAAATTTAGGCTTCAGTCGTCTTTTTTTATCGTTCATATGGTTTTATGTCGGTGACAGAACCCTTATTTAAATGTTTGTCCAGAAAGTAAAAAAAAGAGCAGTTTCACCTTATTACCGTTTAGAAGGTTTTAGATCAATAATTTCACATTTATGTGGTTTTTGATACCCCAGGATTACAGGGCCAGCAGATTGAAATTTTTGCAAATTGCATAAGATCACAAGCTGCTTTCCAGAATCTATGTTCTGCGTAATATAATGCAATCTGGGTTTACAAGGAGTTATACATTTTTAAAACATAGGTGATCTACGTTGTCAGAAAAAATGTGAAATTGTCCTTTACCACATCTCTGAATCAAACTTCAGCTTTGTGATTTTTAGGATGTGTGGATTATCACACTGCTAATGAAATCAAACTAGTGAGATGTTTTTTGTTTGTTTTTTTACTGCAATGTCCAAAATGTTGTAAAACCACAAAAAATATCTACAAATGTGTTTTGAAAGGTGTAGAATTTCCCTCTATTAATATTTTAATATTATTTTACATTGCTATTTTAATAAATATCACAGGTTTAAGTAAGACTCCAAATAATGTGATTAAATTTAGTAACGTATACATTAAAAATGAATCAGTTTCACTATTTGTAAATCTAAAGGGACATTTTACAATATTTTTTATAAGCCAAATAATTACTACTTAAATGTTTTTTTTTTCCTTAACTGATCAAATGTTCTCAAATTAAAGGCTGAATTATTATTATTATTATTGTGTGTGTGTGATTATGCTACTCCATTATAAGATGCATTTATTTTTAAGTCTTTTGACACATCTTTAATATGGGTGCCAATGAATTCAGAAGGTTTGTAAGTGTAAACTTTGAACACATGATGCATTTTAGACCCATCTACTTAACAGCTTGTACTGACGAAATGCCAGCCAAGGTGTGTATATAGTAAAAGCACTATTTTAACCAACTGTTATTCACAGGAAATGCTATGTAATATTGTACCTATTTGTGAAATGTCAATATTTTATTTAAGAGCAATTATGAATGTCCATCTTGTTTTTTTTGTTTGTTTTTTTTTAGTTGATTGTAACAAAGTGGCAACTAATCAGATGTGAGTGACGTGGTACAATTATTTTGGTACAAGCATTGAAAGATGAGTTTGGTACTTAAATTTAAAAAAAAAAAAAAAAGGTCTTTAAGTATGTTTACTTGGTTGTAATTTTGCTGTATTTTTTGTATCCCTCTTTGCCACAGTATACTCCCCTCGCAGAAAATTACTGTCATCTGTTTCCACCCACATCCAAATATTAAAGTGTTACAGTATCTCCAGCTAGTTTGTTTCATGAGACATGATGGAGCTTGTTTGTGTTTTAAGCGCACACAGTCGGCCTGTTCTGACTGGTAATCGATTCTTAAATGATGCACATTTTTAAATATTCTTCTCCTAATGTTTGATCTTTGAACGAGTCTGTGCATTTCGCCCCCGGTGCTCTACAGATAAAGACCAGTAAGTAAGTACACATTTCAACAAGAACGTAATGGTGAGTGTTATTTATACCCTCCTGTGTAAGAAGAGCAAATATTTTAGGGTATTGCTTCCCTATGCAGTAACGTAGCTACACATCAGGTAATCAGATTTAATGTTGTTCTCAGAATGCTATAAAGGACCTCTAAGGAAATGCCAAATGGAGACGTTTTAGTGCCAAATCTAATCAGGACAACATATATTAGTAGACCTAAACTCACTTCTGCTCCTTCTCCTCCTGTCCTGGTCATATAAACACAGATTTTCCCCTGCAAGGAGGGTGGGTCTAGTTGAGGTTTACACAAGTGCACCCCTCCCTCTGATGTCTTTTCTTTAGCTCTAGTCCTCCCCTAATGAGGCCGTTTGTTCCTCCCGAATAGGCAGCAGACAACTCTGTAGTGACACCCGCCTTTGATCAAAGGGCAAAGCCCATTTTGGCAGTTACTGTCACATCTGCTCCTGCGCCACATCAAGTTTCCAGTCTTTACAAGTAAATATTTTATCACATGAAGTCTTCTATTAGACAATGAAATGAAATTTGTGATTTTTTTTTTTTATTCTGAGGAGCACTCGCAATGAGCTTTTAGACTATGCAGGATTTTTGACAAAGAAACAGACATTTTGGATTCGACGATAAATGTACAGTAGATGAAGTGATATTGAAGTATACATAAGTCTAACCATTCCAGGTTTTCCAAGCGAAAAATTTTATAACATTCTCGTCCAGTGTCTAGCATCCTTGCACACCCCAAGTTTCCATGTATTTTAAAATACTTTTGTGTGATTGACTAACACAAAGTAGTGTATAATTGTAAAGTGGAAACATGATGCGTAGTTATTGACATTTTTCAGAAAAATCTGAAAAGTGTGGCATGTGTTTGTATGTAGTGCACTTGAGTCAAGACTTCATAGAACCATCGTTCGCTGCAATTACATGTGCAAGTCTGGAATCAAGCATCTTTGGCCATTTTCTTTCCAACTTATCTCAAGCTCAGTCTTTCCAAGAATTATTAATTGGCTTGACATCTGGACTGACTGGGTCATTTTAGCACATATTTACTTTGCCCTCAAGTTCAACAATTATTACAACTTCACAAAATGATCATGGAGAGAGTGTCATACTTTCCGGCGCAGCGCCTCCTCTGGCTTCTGGTGTTGCCAAGGAGTATTAGCAGTGCATGCTAATAATGTATATCTTGGCATTCTCTATCAGTGGTAGTTAGTGATTAGCAGAAATGGAAAAGAAGAAAAAGCATTTCAGTTTTTAGACTGGACAGTGTTTGAATCATTCTTGACTGGTTGCAAGTTCTTTTTCTTGTCTACAAACTTTCTGAAGTAGTGTAAACTTTAATCTGTGTGAAAAGAAATAGGCTGTTGGTGGTGGAGTTTGAGAGGGGGCGGGGGGCCAGAACCACCACTGGTTGACTCACTAATACATCCTCATGCACTCCATTTTATATTTCAACCAGATCACAGTAATTTACGACTCCCATGGTACTTTAAAAGTAGGTCACACATCCATCTATAACTAGGTTAAGGAATAAAGCTTGTCTGTCTGGTCTATGATTTTTTTTTTTTCTTGTAGCCTAAATATCCCCTTTTTCCCACTTTCCATCTTCCATCCACCCTCCCATCTCGTTTCCTTTCCATCCTTGCGTCATTGTTTTGAATGGAGCACCCTTCAAGAGTTGCATTACCCTCCTTTGCAGGAAAAGGGGGAGCGGAGGGGGCTTGTGGAGGCGTGTGCTTCGTCGTCCAATTGCAGCCCGTCTTGGCTGCCGGACCGCACATGTTTACAGGCAGCGATCCGCCGGTAAAGGCCCCGCTCGGTCGGAGCAAAGAACGGACTGGATTTAGACCACAGTCGGAGCCAGAGTCATCAAACGGTATTGTCTTTATCGTTTTCGACACTTGAAGCAGGTCGGCGATGTGTTTTGCAGAGCAGAATAAAATAATTCGACGTATTACGAGTCGCCTGCCTTTGTCCGGGACCTTTTGACTTGATTGTGTCGCCATTTTGTTTAATCGTGAACGAATGTTGTTACGGCTTCAGAAGGTTGTGATCACTCCGCGTTTTTCCGCCGCCCCCCTCGCAGCTCGCTGGGAGCAGTGGGGAAAACAAACAGGTCGAACGGAGGAAGATTGGTAGCCGGTTAGATGTGGAGGCTGTTTGGTAGCGAATGGTTCGTGTTTATGCCGTACGGTGCTAATTCAAAGTTCTGCGGCTTGAGTCCCCTGCATTCGGGACGCAGTTCGGAAGTTTTTGCCTCCCCCACCGAGTATGTTGTCGCTTTCCAACATTTTCGTAGAGGTTGTTGGAGCGCGTAGTCTACCCGCTGCGGTCTTGTGCCATTCCCGACGTTTTGTTCACCGCCGGCCGTGTTTCGACGTTTAATGAATTAAAGTTCCTGCGGGGAGCGCTCTGACTACGGCGACACACTCGGCGGAGATGCACACCAGGCGCCTGGTGAAGCGGTCGATCCTTGGCAGCCGCGTTTATGCGACGAGCCCGACTGGGGACGGTGCCCCGGTGACAGGAGTGGTTCAGGCTGTCAAGCAGGAAAACAGGGACGCGTCCGCCGCTGGACCCCGGCGCAGCGTGTACACCGTGCTCCTGCAGGACGGAAGCCTGAAGGAGTTCTCCGAGGAGGAGATAGCCGCTGGATCCAACCACACGGCGGCCAAAGGACCGCTCAAGTCCAGCCTGAAGGTGTGTGTCTGCCTCTCTATATGTTTAAGGACGGAAAGGGCCCCGACCGGCGGGCTGCGCTTCACTGTTGTTGTGCGGTGTTTTGCAGCGTTTAACCGCTTCCTGCACGGAGCGGATTTAACGGTGTCAGCCACCAATGCCGCTCTCTGCAAATTTAGTCGGTTAAAACCAAACATGCATCAGTCAAAATATAGAATAGATCCGTTTTGTTGCATATTTTATCAAATAATGTGCTGTCATGACATTTGGCGATGACACATATATGGGACAAAGAGGGCTTGATGGGGCCTGCGCAATGTTTATGTGGGCTGGAGGGTGGGTAATATGAAGGAAACAAACACGCTCTGACTGCAGCTGCAGCGTTTTGGACCGACGTGAGGAACTCGTTGTACAATTTTGCACTGAACAATAATCGCATGCAATTTTGTGCATGCACCATTTAAATGCATATTTTCGTCGAATTTGCGTCGTATTGGCACATTCATTCATTTAGTATACAGAGTAATCACTGACTTTATAGCTTTTGCAAGCATAATGCTCTTTTATTTTTGTTAAGCACTTTGGGGAAACTTGCAGTTTTTTTGAATTTGCTCTGTAAATAATTAGACTTTTTTTTTAATGATAGACCGCAGGTTCTTGCTTGAATTGCGCCCTTTTCTGGTCTCAACAACAGTTGAATAACAAAAAAGTAAAGATGCTCTTGAGTCAGAGATTAGAATTGGCCAATGTTACTTTGACCAGGGATCATGCTGAAAAAAATCTGATGTTTTCCCCTTAGACTGAATGCATCAAAATTATCAATACATCACATTTTATTTAGTGAAAAAAGCCAATTTGTCATCATCTGAATTGATACCGAAAAATTGGGATTGGCCAGGTAATTATTGATTTGTGCATCTCTACAATAAAATAAAATAATAGTAAAGATGCTTTTTTTGTGTGTTTACATAAAATACAGATTTCAGGGCTCAAGCTGCTTTTTAAAATAATTTCTGCACGGGGTAGATTAACTCTTAAGTATTTTCAATTCTGTGGCTGAGATTATCAAATTCAATACAGATTCCCTGCAGAACACTGAAGTTCCCCTTAACTTATAATCACAGTCACTTTTTTTTTTTTTTCATTGTTTTCAGTGGGCACAACACTGACCATCTCCCTACTGAGAGGATCTGCATTATGAACAATAGAAAACTTGACTGGGGTCTCCCATAGGGCGTGTTGCTCTGAGTAGTGAGCGATGTCGTCTACATAAAAATATAAACGCTGTGAATGGGATGTCATGACGTCAGGTTAGCATGCCGCTACATTGCAATTCCGTCTTAAAATATCCAAAGGTGAGGCAACGATGCTTATCTAATGGCAAAACTTGAACGATAAAGAGTGTGTGAGCAGGAGAAGCCAGTTGAGTGTTTTCTGTTACGGGGCAAGCTTGTGTTATTCTGTCCTTACAGTAAGGGAGGTACTGAGGAATGAGAGACTGAGTAAACAGCTATTTTTTTTTTTCACTCAGACTTTAATTTTTTTTCCCTCCTCGTGTTTGTTTATGTCCGGTTTTGGTGTCACAGATGAAGTAACATGCATTCTATTTCTGCAGCAAAAAGGAAACCTGTGGTCACTTTTATTTCCTCACAGTTTTGACTATCGGTAGCAGCATTTAGATTCCAGACCCTCTGTTGCAAACGCTTATAAATCCATTACCAACTTAACTCTTTACAAAACCCCTTATTTTTAAGATCTTGATATAACCTTGGAGACATCGCCAGATGTTTGCCTTGTTTTTTTTTTTCTTTTCTTTTTTTTATTCATACTTTGTTCATTTTCATTGCAGTTTTGTGGAAACAAAAGCTGTTGCGCTGCAGCGCTACAGCCACCAGTGCAGGCAGAGTGCAGCTGAGGCTGGCTGCACAATGGTCAAGTCTCTTTCAGCACGACTCAATTCCCACCGAGGTCGAAAACAAGCCATAAAGCGAGGAGTAGGAGGAGTCTGCCCGTGCAGTGTGTGTAGCTCCATGTGTGGCTCCGTGCTGCCTATGGTGTGTATCAGAGTGTGGTATGGCTGTAATTTCCCTCTGGTGTGTGTTATTCCTAAGCCCCAAACTTCTCGAAACCTTGGATTGGGTCCTGTTTTTGAGAGCTTGCAGCCTCGTTTGAGCAGAAGCAGCTGCACAGCCAATAAAGCAGGCACCCTCAGGTTGGCAACGGGTGGCATGCCCCAAAGAATCTGGATGCTTGGCACCAAGCCCAGTCCTGCAAATGAATGCCCCCTCTTTTTTTGTTTTTCTTTTTTTTTTTTTTAGGGGGGCTGGTGGGTAAACTGGGTGCCACTTGTTGACTCGTTTACTTGCAAAAGTATGTTTTGTACCTCAAGCAACAACGATTTTTCTTGATGCTCAGTAAAAAAAAAAAAAGACCAGCTTGATTTTGTGTTAAGCGTCCGCCAGCGCAGGAGTCAACGATTGTTGACAGAGGCTGAGTGACTCTTTTGTTCTGACGCTGAGGTCCCAGGCATTCCAGCGCCGGCTGTCTTAATTGGTTGGTTGAACAACATCAGGATGAAAACCAGTGTGAACAAACGTGGGTGTGAATGAGTACATTTTTTTTTCACATTTATTATGCATCACAATTATCTGACAAAACTCTGTTGTTACTTGCATATTAGATGTAGTTTTCGTGGTGATGGGTAGAGCTAAATCCATCACAGAGAGCTTTTTCTGATTTTCATTTTTATCTATGAAGGTGAGCTGGCCTGGCCAGATTTTATTGACATGCACTTTAATATAAACATTAGCAAGAACCTGCTGTAAGCCCCATGATGACGTTTGAGGATTTTCAGAGATTTCTTTTAGCGTCTTGTGGTCTTGATTTTGGGACAAACTTGCTGGGGAGGCCTAAACTGTCCCAGACAGTTGTGTTGAATGTCATCCACTTTAAGAAAGTTAAAAAAACAAGCCAGTGGGTGATTTAAAAAAAAAAAAAAAAAAAGTACAATCTTTTAAAATTTCTCACTGGAGTCATAAGGTGAGAAACTTACTGTACTTTCTGAATGTGCTCAGCCTTGCACCTTAAGTTCAAGTAGCTGTTGTTTGTAATACACTTATTAACCTGTCTGTCACTAGAGGACCCAAATTTGGGTCCTCTCGTGACAGGGGTGTCAAACTCCAGTCCTCAAGGGCCTCTGTCCTGCAACTTTTAGATGTGCCTCTGCTGCACCACACCTGAAAAGAATAATTGGGTCATTAGCAAGGCTCAGGAGAACCGATCTACACAGGGAGGAGGTAATTAAGCCATTTCATTCCACTGTTTTTTACCTGTGGCACATCTAAACACTGCAGGACAGCAGAGGACTGGAGTTTGACACCCCTGTCATTGTGAATGACAACCTGAGACCAACAGGTTAAACAATCTCCAGTACGCATTTGCTAAGAATGTCTAAAATACAAATTCATTTAAGAAAAATCATACTGCCTTGTAAATTCCAACAAATAAATATTTTACTTTTAAACAGCTCAACCTACAAAAACAATAAATGCTCACCAGTGCCAGCCTTTCACGGTTCCTCTGGATGCTTCTTTAACTTTCTTTGAAGCACAGATATTTGAATCTTTTTTTTTTAATAAGTATATATATGTTGCTGACTTGGTTGTTTTGCTGCTAGACTCAGTCTTACCTTGAATAAGATATCAAGTCCAAAAGAAGCTGTAGAGGAGGGCTGGAGAAACATGAGAGCAAGGAAGAGGAGGACTGTCTTACTTTGATCATGATTTGAAATGTGTCACCTCAGTAGCTTGGATTTCCAAAGAGGACCCAGAAAAACTGTAGGAGTGCAGTATTTTGTGCTTCACAGAAATTCGACTGTAGGAGCAAATTCCTCACTCGAGCATCACTTCAACTAGCTTTCAGGCTATAGGCACCGATACAAAATAGCAGAGCCTTGATAGTAAAGCTCAGATCACAGTGCTTGCTTACGACAGATGATGGCGTGATCCGAAACGTGTTGAGAGAAGCGGGGGTCAACAAGTCAATTTTTAACAGTTTGGTGTGAAATTTTCCATCTTCGGTGTGGAAAAACATCACCTGCGTTACCTGAATTTAATATCCTTACATCTCTGTATGCTGTTAGCTCCACAAACAAACATCTCTGTGTCCACAAACACACACCGCTCTGACCTTTTGTGTTACTGTTGTCCCTCGGAATTTTTTTTTGTCGTTTGTTTTGTTTTTACGAAGGTCTGAAAAGATATTTTAAAAAAAGCCAGTTTTCAAATTTTTGTTTCATTGGATTAAGGCAAAAGAAGTTGTCCAACCTAAACTGGCTTTGTGTGAAAGACTCTAGTCTTTAGATAAATGATCTGTTGCCTAAAAAGTCTCATTCATGTCTAATCATGTAGCTGATCTTTTCGGCAACAATCCAGATTACCCATGAACACACACGAACCTGAAATACTCCTCAATGCACTATTGTCAGGCGTGTGAGTCAGTCTGCTTATGTTTTGGCCTTTACTCTGATTGTTTCAACAGGCCTCCAGGCAGGAAGATGGAGAGCTACAGAGGTGTGGTGGTGTGTGAATTCATTCTGAGATTCAGGGATTTTGTTGTTGTTGTTGTCGTTTACATTTCTCCATCAATGTAAGCAACAACGATTGTTTTTTTTTGTTTTTTATCACAAACTTTTCTTCCAAAGGATGCATCTGCAGCATGTGATGGGACAAATTGAGTTTTCCTGTGATTAATGTTGTTGTTCTTCTGGTGAGTAAAAGTGTCTTACTTCAGTCAGTTTTTCAAATACTCCATACCAAATTGATATTTTGTCTCTTTTTCAGTTTTCCTCATTGATCTTGTTTGGAAATGAATCAGACTCAATGAAAATGGTGAAAGAAATGCCATTCTTCTCCAATGAGTCTCTGACCACCGTGGACTGTAATGTTCTGTGTTGGCTAATGTATTCGAAGTGTTATGAACTTACATTTTACAAATTAGTGTAACATTTAACCTTTCGGTCAAAGTCTCATGGCAACAGATACTCACGCAGACTGATAGAAGCAGAGACGAAAATAACAGGAGAGAAGAAAATAGACACATATTGCAACTGATGTAGATATTATTTTTTTTACCATTATTATCACCACTGTGAGATTTTCTAAGACTGTGCAGCCCTAATAGAAACTGAGCAAAATGCAGCTCAGAATGCAGCTAAAACATTTCAGAGATTGAGGCATTAAGAATGGACAATCAAACTAGAGCACTGGACATAATAGCTATCCAAGAAGAAATCAGTAATAGCAAAGACTCCAGCTTTAATGCGAGTCAGGGCTTTGTCCAGAGGTAAGAAGAAATGTGGTCTGAAAGCAATAGCTTGGAGACCTATTAGACCGGCACTCTACCTGGGAAGTTAACTGTAGCGAGCCGGGTCATAAAAGTCCCACCTTTCTGAACACAATCAATCTGTGTTTTACTCGTGAGAGTTTAACTTTCCCACAGTAATACAACTCTTCAATGTTATTTACAAAGGTACGCCACTTGATCTCTATATGTTGATCCAAAGTTATCGTTCTTTATTACATTTCGTTTCGCTTTCAAAACTTGAGTCAAGCTAATGCTGCATATCTACTGGTTGGATGGGAAAGATAAAGACATTATGCTCACAAACAACACCTCTGTTTGCCCTGTAGGTATGACAACTGACCCAACCAGATCTATTTCTAGAGAACCTTTTTAGTTAAATTAGACTCCATTCTTATTCTCCGTTTCCAATAAGATGCATCATGTACATTCTTTATATTTCTGTTGAATAAGGTCAACAAAACAAACGGTATTCTTTAAACTCCAATAAATAACCATAATGTGCTGTTATATTCACTATATCCATACTATATGGTAGTGTGCCTTCCACTTTGATTAGGATTTATTTTGGATTTATTTAGGTTGTCTGTGATATGAAGAGATTTGCTATTTACCAGTTTTCAGCCTTAGAGATATAAAAATTTAATTTACCCCAAGAATTGAATGGCATCCTTTCTTTTTTTCATGTCTATAGTTTTCCTAATCAGCTCTGTTTATTTAAACTAATTCCAATTACAAAGACCATAAGAAAGGCATTGTAAACACTGTTGTAAAGAACTAAAAGAAAGTCCACTGTTCCTTGTGTTTTAGGAGAGATTGAGGAAGCATGAAAGCTTCCTTCCTTAATAGTTCGGAGAATCCACCCAGCTCATATCATGACCCCTGCTGAGATACTTCTGGGTCAATTTCACCCCATTAGGAGGAATAGATGTATACCAGTAGGGGATTCTGACAACATAATGAGCTTCTGTAGAATAATCTTGGTTTGGCTGTATTGAATCCTCCCCACAAATGTAAAAATGTATGACATGATCTAATTACTTTTATTAAAAAAGCTGTCACTGTCACGACCACAACATGTAAAGGTCAAACCGGGCTTTCTGTATATGTTGCAGAGCTAACATAAAACAGATGCAGACGGCGATGGAAGACATAAAAAAATAAATGTCAGACGAGGTTAGATGCAAGTCTGGAATTTTGCATGTTTATGACAGATTGTGGCGTATTCTGTTTTGCTTTTGTGAAGAAATGCTGATGTTAGCGTAAGAAGGAGTAACGTTTACTACAGAATACTACACTGTGCAAAAGGACATGTTAATTCATGCAGCTGTTTTTTGTCAGTGATTATTATATTTAAGAAGCTTGTTTGGTGGCATTATTCTCAGCCAACTTCATCATTTTTATTATGTGGTTTTCAGTTCCAGTTTGTGGGGACTGTTTTTTTTTTTGTTTTTTGTTTTTTTTTTGAAACTGCGATGATTTAAAGTCGCATGACAAATTTAAATATGAAGCTGAAAGATGTCTGATAAACATACTTCTTTAACAAGAAACAGTGGTTAAGCGTCTCAGTTCTAGATCAAGTTATGGTCTCAGAACTGCATCTTTCTCTCACTTGCATATTTCCAGTGATGTTAAGCATGGACAGCCATTATAGGGACTAAACAACCACAACTATTCTTATTAAGTTTACCTTATTTCACTAGCACATCTGTTAATCTGCATGACTAGAGGCCAAATACTTCTAACATTTAACCAGATTACAAACCATTAAAAATATCAGCTTGAACTGCATGTGTTGTTACTATTAGAAGCAGAACAGCAAAAATCCATGATATTCTTCAAAATAACGGTTTACTTGAAAGCTGCTTCTACATTAATTGGTTCGATTTTCCAAAGTCATTCTAAAAAATGACATAGATTACATTAATAACATGAATTGTCGTTAAGTTAGCGTGCTCTTGCTGGCATCTGTTTATTCTTTCAAATAAAGGAAATTTAACTTTTAATACGCTTTTGTATTTTATCAACATTATTACTCAGTCACACTCTATTATCATGACTCCTTGAACATTTGTTTTTCTTAAACCTATTTTGCATTACTGTTCATGTAAAGCTGCTGGAAACCCAAGGATGTGTCTTATAAAACTTGAGACCTTACTGTTAAATTTTTTTTTGCTGTAGTTATATATATTGTGCCAAGTTTTTCTTTGTGTACTTGGACCTTTTTGACATAAGATTATTTGTAGCAGTATGTGGGAGGACATACAAAAATATAGTGAATATATTGAATAATGTCCAGTATTTAAGAGTTTTCTAAGTATTTAAGAGTTTGAGTTTGCGGTTTTCATCTTCTTTGGCTTTGTGTTGAACTTATTGAAAACCGTAAACTTGTGATGTAAGAATAGTAAAATATTTAAAAGCACATACCTCTAGACGTGACCTAAATGAAATGTTTCATTTTTTTTCATACTTTATAATCTAACTTTGCTTTCCATTTTTTTTAAAAAAGAAAAAAGCTTTTTTGAATAGGACATTTTCTTTGAGGAAAACTTCCAAACGCCAAAACGTCTGCAGGAAAAAGAGCTTTGTTTATAACTGACCACTGCACATTTTTTTTTAAGTTTCTCCAATATGTTTTGGAACAGCCGTTTAAGGTTCAGGATCCTGGAAATTGTTCTAAAACCACACTCCTTCATTTGAAATGTAAATATGGAATTATTGTCAGTATTTAGATTACAAGTTCAGACAAAGCCAAAACCTACCTCTTCATCTGGTTCTGGCTTAAAATCCCCCCCATTGTTTTATATCCTAAAGCTTCCCCATAATTGTGTAATATTCTTGTAATACAATTAAATACAACTACAAAGTTACATTTAGGACTACTCTACCTGCTGCAAAGCTGCTCCACTCATTTTCGAATGGCGTTGAACTGTGCATTTCTCATGTTTACAACATTCCTTCCTCGGAGTTGTGGCAAGATGTTTTTGTTTCGGTGCAGGGAGTGACTTGTTCCTCTGTTCACCCCCCTGACAGCAGAGCTCCAGCAACGGGGTTTCAGATGGTCACAAGTTGGAGAGCGGCTGCTGGAGCCCAGAGGCAGTGGAAGAGCAGAGGCCTGTGGACGGGAAGCGAGTTAGCCGGGATCCCGACGCCCGATCCGTGTCCCTCCTAGAGCAGAAACGCAAAGTGGTCTCGTCCAGCATCGACGTCCCACATGCCAGGTAAGACCCTCTGAGAATAAATGCGTTCAAGCGCATACCAAATCTGAGGAACTGACTGTCTGCGTGGCTCCCAGAGGGACTTTGGCTCATGTTCCAATGCAGAGTTCATGGAGAGTTTATGACACTGATATGTCATCTGACAAGTAGGACACAGTTTATGCTGGATGACGTTCCATTTCTCGTCGTATCCTTGAAGCCGTTTTGGCAGCACGCAGAGTCTGATTTAATTTGGCAGGTGTCCATTTCTCCTGCCATTACACTTACATATTTTATCCCATCCCACATGTTCTTTCACACAAGTAGCGTCAGCGTCTTTAGATGATTAATTGCCAACCAAAGTTATCCAAAGCAAAATTATAGCGCTGTCTTGAAAGATTCTGGGCTGCACAAAGCCAAATTTACAGCAGCAGCTATTCTTGAAAACGTATTCATACCCTTTGAACTTTGTCAAATGTTGTCACATTTACAACGACAAACCACAAAATGAATCTTTGAGAGTTTATGTGCTAAAGCAAGTACAAGGAAAAGAGATTTTTTTTAAAAAAAATGTTTTGATCTACAAGCAAAACTCTGGATGTACCATCCTCTCTGAAACATGGTGGTCCTTGCTGTCCTTCAGCAAGGACAGAGATGCTTTTCAGAGATAATGAAATTATGTAACTAAATAAACTTTTTTGGGACTGTAGTGCAAGTGAGACTGAATGCACAACACACTTTTCAGATTTTCACCATCACTATGAGACACGTCAGTACCAGCATGTAGTTAGAAGAAGAGATGGCAAACATGGATGTGACAAAATGTGAAAACTAGACACATTTACTATCTAGACATTATCGTCCCGAGAGTTCCCTGCACTTTAAAGGGATTTCAAGATGCACTGAATGCTGTAAGCTTTACCTGACCTTATAAACTTCATCCTTTGCCCCCTTGGATGTCTTCCTCCCTCCACAACGCAAACACTAGAGGTTCATTATACTCAACATGTTCTCATCTGATTGAGTATATCTAAAATTTGTAAATGAATATGTCAATCTCTTTTGTCTTCTGTCTTAAATTTGCAACATGTAACATCCGATCCCATGTTGTAATATGTACCACATTACCATTTACAACTGTAAACCATTAGGATGTGATGTTGCATTAATTCATTCACTCACTGCGTTTCTGCACATAGAATCTGTTAGGTTGTCTATAGGGTCTGCAAGCAAAGCTAATTCGTTGAAACATTGATGGCTGTTAACATCATACGAGGAAGCAACACTCCTTCTCTATTAAATGGAAAATCTAATCCCTTTTCTGCAATCTAAATGCTCAACACTGTTATTGAACATCCCCTCTGGTTACTTGGTGTTGGAGGACTATGATTGATCACAACTTCCAGAAAAGAACAGGAACATCTGCAGCTTCATCACTACTTTCCAAGGTCCAGATTTGATATTTGCTTATTGATTTTTTTGCCCTGCCTTGCTGTCCATTTAGAGGATAAGTCTGGTTTTAAATTTAATCTCCTGTATGGATTGGACAGAACTTGTGCACCTGTCCAGCCATGATTCCCTCGTTGCATATTGGCTGTGATATTATGATTACTCACATAGTCAAAGTAAGATGGCGTATTGATTATTTCACAGCTTCAACAAGTAAAAGCCATTTTCCTTGTCCTCCCAGAGACAAGCACTTTATGAACAGCCCTAACATTGGTCATTAAAATGAGACCAACAACAAAAACGCATTTCAGCGTGGCTTATGGCACAATCAGTCCACACCAACAGCTATTCTCATTATAAATGTGGAGAGAAGTCGCAACTTATTGGTGTGGCAAAGTCTCAAAACTAAGTTCCCATTTTTCTCATAAAAATAGATGTTGCTGTTTAGCAGTTATTGGATTATCATTACAGAAGGAGATATGAAACGCCAACATGCTTTTGGGTTAAAAATGTAGGTTCAGAAACATCTTGTTTTTTTTCTGTTTACAGACGTCAAATTTCTACTCTGTAGGCTTAAAGGGGGTTGAGAGTATTATGTAGAATCAACATTTTTGAGCTTTACATCATTTTATAGTGTTATCCCCTCATCAAAAACATACCTGGAGTGTTGCTTTGATTCTTTCATGCATGTTTTAAGAAATCCTTACATCTCCCTTGGCAACCATTCAGGGGCACCTAAACCCAGGCTCTCACAAAGCAGTGTCTATTTCCATAAAGCTTCTCCTTGGAGAGCTCATCATACCAGCTACTTCTCAGCACAACACTCCTAAGAATGGTTGAAAATGTCATAATCAGAGGCATTGTTGTGATGACATGCTGAAGGCGGAGCGTTGGAAAGAGCAGGAGTTTCTTAAAGAGACTGAGAATAATTTCAAGGCATCAAATTGCAAAGTCAAAATTATTTATATATATATATAATATATTGTACCAGGAACATACATAATATCACCCTTTTAACATGTTTTTCTGCGTTTCTTGGAGACTTTAAAACCAGACACTCAAAGTTCATCAGCATATTCTGCTAAATCAAAGCCTCTACAAAATCAGACTTAAGTTAAAATACATTTTAGCCCAATTCCTGAAATATGCCTGTACACTGAAGAACACTGAAGAAGTTCATTGTTGCCTCATGTTTGTGCGGACTGCAACCTGAGCTTTTTTTCATTGATGTCCATAAAGTGACCTCTTCAGCACACTGCGGTATTATTACCTCAAGATTAAGATCCATGGCCCTCATCCTCCACACACCTGCGACAGATTTTCAGTTCTGACCTGATGCTGGAGGGAAGCAGGAGTTTCTCCTGACCACAAAGTTATGAAGAGCTGCAATTAAGACGAGGACAAACCCTGAAAGCCTCCCAAATCACAAGCTTATCTACCAGGCAGTAAGGCATATATCATGATGTAATCTGAAGAAGGATCAAGAGTATCAGAAAACTCATTCTGGTCCCTAGAACAATAAAAAAAATGCTTCATCAGGTTATAACTTAACACAGTTTAATTTTGAGCGGTTGTGTCTCTATTAAAGATGTTTGTCTACAGTTTTGGTTTGTACTCTGAGCCAGCTGCTATAGGCCTGCTCTAAGAGCGAGTGTGTGAGTGTTTTTTCCTTGCAGGAAGCGATTTAGCGAGAGCTGGTTGAGGTAGACTGGTAGAAATGAATGGCTCGCCTTTTGATAAATAACATTCTGGAGCCAAATTGCTGTGAGGGGAAGTGAACTGCAGCACTGGTTAAGGGGAAATCAGGAGCATGCTTTGCTTATTACTGCAAAACACCAAAACAACAGCTCTAAGGGTCCAGATCCTCAGACTCAGCAGCCAGCCCTCCCTTTCTATTATGAACTTGAGTTACTCGCATTTGGCTCCATTCCTTGGCCTCTCTGTGATTTTTATTTTTTATTTTTTATTTGTCAAATAATCCCACTTGCCTCATAGTATGGCTTTCTCATAGCCGTAAGTGAAAAACATGGAGTCTGGTGGGACCGGGCGGGAGTTTGACTTTAAAGCCAGATTTGATGCCACTGCAAAACAATTTGTTAGCTTCGTTTTTATTGTTCATCAGTGTGTTTTCAGATCAGCCAGTTCAGTGGGCCGAGCCAACCATGTGCTTCGCTCTCCGAGTACAGTGCAGCAGCCAACTCAGACATGGAGGAACGCCAATCACAAAACAGGAGCCTAGAGGGACTTTCAAATTATTGTTTATCTTTTGATAAAGTGGCTTGTCCAGTAATCCGCTTGTTTTTCGTTCTGCTCGTGGTTTTGCTCGTCTCTGTGGCCATTTCCTAGCTTTTGGACCGCTTGTATAACTCCCTGTTGGCGTTTGCGGTCTGAGTTTCGAAATAAACGAAAGGAGGAGTGAATAGGTCCATGTGAAAGAAGAGAGCAGAGTTGATTCTCTGGAGAGCGGGTGAGTGAGTGAGTGAGTGAGTGAGTAACGGCGTTAAGTGAAGGACAGAGTGAGAGAGCGTCTCAGCGGTTGCCAAAGAAAACAGTCTTTCTGGTTTGGATGCAAGTAGATTTGAGAAACCATGAGACTACCATCTGAGACGACAGCTCCTGTGATCTCTCGGTTTCCCACTGATTCTCTGTGTCGCTAATTTCAGCCTTTTCTCGTCGGAGCAAATGTAGATGTTTTTTTTGTTTTTTTTCACTCGGCATATGCCGAGTCAAATAGTTTGATAAGCTTAGTTATTCACATTTACTGTAAAAATAGCAGCGAAAAATAGTGCTTGCAGTTATATGCTGTGAAATAAGCATTGCTCAACCTGTGTAATGGAGGGTTCCTACTTTGGAGCCATAATGGCTTCCTAAATTCCAAATGTTATGTAATTTGTCATCGGGACTTCAGGAGGCAGTGTTTTCTGAGGACCTTTCATTGTAATGTTTTCTTAAATCCAAGCAAACAGCAAAACTTGCTTGAGAAGCATGAAACTATATTGTGGCGTGAAGGCTGTGCAATTTTTTTCTTTTAAATCTTAGGCGTTGCTAATCTTTTTAAATACATTTTTGTTTTGAAAGTAGCAAGTAAAACTTTAAACTATGACCAGCTGTGACTAAAGAGCTTGTAAAGACAAACGAAAGGTGGGTCAGATGGATTCCTACTTAGTTTGGATTAGCCTGTAACAGCCATGGTGACCACTTTGGGTCCAGTCTCTGGCTTGTGTGATTTAAAAAATCTCGCATGACATCTGAATCTTTAATTAGATTGGTAATAACTGCCGTTGTGGCTTTGCTCAACTGCACAACGCAATGCCTCATACCTTTTTCGTTTTCACTGTTTTTTGAGTGAAATAATTCATCTATAGGATCCTAAACAGTTTACTAAGTGCTCCCTCACTTTTTTTTTTTTTTTTTTAAACAAAGAGGGGATACAACCATATGTTTTTGCCATCCCGTCCTGTAATCTGGCCAATTTTTAAAGGTGCCGGGAGTTCTTATGAAATCTTTTTCAAACTAAAAACTGATCAAAATAACTCACCTCTGAGTTTGTTTTCTCCTGCTGTAATTTTGGGAAA